CACCGCAATTAAATAGTTTAATTCATAATATCCAGTTCACTTATATATGGAATTATACATTAAACTAGGTCGCTCTCGAAACGCATATATTCTTGGCAAATGCATTAAAAAATGTGTCCTGGTTCCTACTTCTTTTTTGGGTGCGGTTGTTGCAGTATTTTTGGCGTAACTTCCTTTTGGCACAGAATGCATTTCGCATTCTGTTCTGCTTCTTCTGGCTCACTTATCCTCAGCTGAACTATTTTCAATGGCTGGTCTTTTCTTGAATGTATTTCTTGCCTATTGTGTAGGGATTGGACGGATTTAGGCTTTTTCAAGAGCGTTCTCGGGCGGTATGTCGTCCTTCTACACTCAAACACATTGAGACTTAGTACATAATCAATATAATAATGATATAATGGGTTCTCCTGGTTCGTCACAATTTGGTGATCTTTGGGAAATGGTGGTGGATAGCCAAATTACAGTCGTCAATTTCTAACTAATTAGCTGTGCTGTTATCAGGGTAACCGAAATCATATTTATTGTCACAAATGTATGTAAAAGAAAAAGTGTTTGCCGACATATATAGCTACGTTTCGATTTATTATCTTATAATTAATTTCATATGCTTGTCCCTTTTTACTTTAATTTTTTGTAATCAACGTAAATGGCAACCCTAAACTGTTACTCTACAAAACTCATTTAATTTAATAAAAATTAATAGTATTTTGTCTATCTTAACGCCACAGCCTTTTAGATTTTCTTTTCATGTTTCGCAAATTTAAATTTTTGGATGTGTGATATAGCTATAAGGAAAAGCTTGCCCATCCAGTATTGATATCGATATCGATATTGATATCGTCCAGCGCACATATTTAAAAATATTAAGGTCAAATACTGCACAAATGCACCTAAAATAATCAACAATGAAATGATCACAAATCTTTATTCAGCCGAAAGACAAAGTAAACAAATATAAAATAAAATAAAATAAAATAGAATATTCCGGAAATGCACACGAAAATAAAGCAAATTTTATTGGTATAAAAACTAGCGCTTTAAGCGCGGTGCAGAATATCATATGTACTTGTGTGTCACACAAGTTGCGCTCTCTCTTGCTCAAATTTCTTCTAGCGACCGAATTTGAACAGGTATGACACACAAGAGTCGTTATTTACGCAAAATTTTTGAAGAGTAAGGGTGTTTTTCGCACGCTGTAAAAATTTGTGTGAAATTTAAAATAAAATTTTAAAATAGTAATATTGAAAAAATGGATAATTAACGTTTTGGTTGCGCTTTGCTTATAATTGAATTTAAATTTGTATTTTTTATATATGCTTATTAATTCAGTATATGCAGCGTATAAGCATCTAAAAATATTTTATCTGTATCCATATTCATATTTTTTTAGGGTTATCGATTTTTTAATTTTAATACTAAATAAAAAATTCATATATCTTTCCTTAAATAGTAAAAAGTCCAAAGGTCATTAAGTACAGTAGTTAAAATGGGAAGGTCAGTAAAGGACCGTAGTTAATTTCATTCACTAAATTATTTATTCACCTCCATAAATAGACCATACAAATAATAAAAGAATGTACATATCTTCATTGTTTTTCAAGAAATTTGATCATTTCCATATTTTTGTTAGTTCAAGGTTATTAACATTAACAATTCTTTTATTTTAATAACAAGTTTTAACGAAGAAAAGCATATTTACAATACAAAGTATTATATCATAAATTTATATTATTAATTAATTGTTATTACGACCAATTTTCAACACGTTTTTTAATTACTGGGCTTAGATTGTTAATTGAACAATGTTTATATTTAGAAGTTTTTTTAAATAAGAAATTACTTATAATTATCGTTTATAAATTAAAATAAAATTAAATAAAATATTGCCTCTACGAACAGAATAGTATTGAAATTTAACAATCAAAAATAAAAATATAATTAATTAATTAATTCAATTATTCTACAGCTAATATATGGTAAACACAGCAAGTAAAATTGTTAATAAAAACTTTCATAGCAAAATAACAAAACTCCAGAAAAATTAGCGAACATAAAAAGTCAAGTACGGCTTTGGATCAGTTGGTTAAGGTGCGCTGATTCTGAGCTTCACATTTGGCAGGACCCGAGTTCGATTCCTGGTACTTGCAGTCTCAAAAATAATTATTTACGAATAATTAAATACAATTAACAGCTGTATGGTCAGCCAAAAATTTAATTAAATAAAATAATATATAAAAAAAAATAAAATTTTTGTTGTTGTAGTTCACTACTGTTCGAAAAAACGTCTTTATAAAATATTTAATAAATTAAATGAAATATTTGATTGTATTTAATTTTTTATAAGAATTTTACATAAAAATTGATATTTTTTTAACTAAAATTCAAATAAATATTTAACACAAATTTATAAGTGTAATTTTAATAATAATAAATAATAATAATAAATACATTAATAATAAAATAAAAAACGTATTAAATTTATATTACAATTCTACATACAGTGACTCCATCGCATAATCGGACAAGCATTTGTTCGATATAAAAGTGATCTAAACTTTAAAAAAAATCCTAAAAATATGATTTTTTTTTTTGCTTTAATTAATACTTAACATACTTATCTATCTGAATTATAAAAAAAATTAAAACATTTCTCATAATAACTATTAATTTAAAGTAAAAAACAGAACCAACACAATTTTTTGGACTCAACGTATAATCGGACAAAATTAAGCATTCATGATAAAAATACTGTTATTTTACAAATATGTATGCACTTCAAAACTACAATAATAATTGTCAGAACAATGTTTTTTACATTAAGGTAAATATAAATTATAAATTATATAATTGTAACATAAATTAGTATTAAAATAGCACCAAATGGAAAGCAATCTACTCTCGAAATTAGGCAATTAATAATTAAATTGAATTTCGAAGGTAAAACCGTTAGAGAAATTGTCAATTTAGTTGGAATAAGTCAATTTACTATTCAAGACATTATCCAGAGGTCCCATGATGAATTTAGGCTGACCAATAAGATCAGAGTAACTCAAGGCAAAATATAAAATGATCGAAAAGAGCGTTCGAATTTAAAAGAAATAAAGAAAAATCCTTTTAAAACCGCGAAAGATCTTAAATTATTATTAAAATCCCGCTCTGGGAAAGATGTATGCTTAAATACTATTCGCAATACATTATATAAATTTAATTATCACGAAAGAATTGCCAGAAAGAAGCCGTTTATAAGTATTGAAAATAAAAACAAAAGAATAAAATTTGTTAAGGAATATTTACTAAAAAGAGAAAGCTTTTGGAATCAAGTAAATTGGTGGTAAATCATCTTAAACACATTTTCATTGATAATTTTCATTTTTTTAAGGTTTTGTTCACTGATAAAAGTAAATTTAATCTGAATAGATCTGATAGTAAGATGTTTGTATGACGTAAACCAAATGCAGAATTCAATCATCACAATACAAAAATCACTATAAAACATGCAGGAGGCTCTGTTATGGTTTGGGGTTGTATGTCGAGTGCGGGAGTGGGTAATTTGCATTTTATAGATAGTAAAATGGGCAAATCTGAATACCTCGACATTCTGAAACAGAATATAAAGCAAAGTGCAGAGAAATGGAGTATCTCAGAAAATTTTAATTTTTATCAGGACAACGATCTGAAGCATACGTCAGGCGTAGCAAAGCTTTGGTTGATCCAAAACTGCCCCAAATTCATAGACGCACCTGCATAGAGCCTAGACCTTAATGTAATTGCCCATCTTTGGGAGGAATTAGCTAGGAGAGTGTACCAAAAAAAATTTAACAAAATAGTATAGCTAAAGGAGGCTTTACTCGAAGCATGGTACTCTATTGAGCGAGAAGTGTGCCAAAACTTGGTAAAATCAGTCACAAATCGTATTCAGGCCGTTCTGGATTACAAAGGATATGCAACAAAATATTAAATGCCACATTTCAGCATTTTTAACATTGATGTTTAATTTTGTCCGATTATACGTTGAGTCCAAAAAATTGTGATGGTTCTGTTTTTTACTTTAAATTAAATGTTATTATGAGAAATGTTTTAGTTTTTTTTATAATTTAGATAGATAAGTATGTTAAGTATTAATTAAAACAAAAAAAAATCATATTTTTAGGATTATTTTTAAAGTTTAGAGCACTTTTATATCGAACAAATGCTTGTCCGATTATGCGATGGAGTCGCTGTATATCGCCTGCTTACAATAAATTTGTAAGGTAAAAATGCTCTTGTATGACGTATGAATCTTTTTGGGTAACAGACTACCATACACAACACGTTGGCGAGTTGGTGAGCACCAAAAACCAAAATTTTGGTGAGCACGCAAACATGTTGGTGATAGGTGCAGACTATCATACTTGTGTGTCACACACCGTTTTTCTCTCTCGTATGACACACAAGTATGATAGTTTGCACCGCGCTTTAGGAAACAGAATAGAACAACACAAAGCAAAACATTTGATCGGCTCTGGGCCATATGTTAAAATGAGGTCAGAAAGGTTGCAAAAAAAAAACATATGAAGCAAACGATGAACACGGACAATATTTAAAGATATTACCCATTTGCAATTTTATAATTTGAAAGTACAAAATTTATTTATGCAGACTTTATGTGTTGCAACTTTCTAATTCTTAAACAATTTTTATATTAACTGCAAGATATAATTTATAAAGTTTCCAATTTTATTTATTTGCCGGCTGCATATTTACAATAAAAAAAGAAATCTTACAAACTCTAAAAATGTTGTAAACAGCTTTCAAGATTTGTAAAATTTCCTAACATATTTTCTGGCAAATTGTCACACTGACAATGGTGAATTTGTCTGGATTTCCAGAATTCGGCAGTATTTAATTAATTACAAGAAATTTGCGTACAGTTAAAACATTTTCTGTTATTTTATTAAGTACACCATTTAAGATTTTAAAACTACCATTTGTAACTCAATCTTACGTTTTACGTTTTACAGGTACAACTCTAACAAGAAGAAAATTACAACCTTAAGCGACACTATTAATCATTTCAAATAAATTTAAATAACTATACTTGATTGCGTTTAACAAAGCTGCAAAGAAACGTAAGCAGAATTTGAAATAAGGCCTTCGCAAAGGCATGTTTATACCTGATACACTTAGAAGCTGTATGATCGAGTCGGACGTCTCTTCCTATCTCCAAACATCATCTTCAGGACAGGTGCTAAATTTGAATTCAAATGATGTACAAAACTAGTCGAGTACATACTTGTTAAAATATAAATAACGTTGAACCAGCCGCTGGCTGCTAAAGTATTATAACTTAATTAAAAAACATTGTGAAAAAGTATGAAGCAATAGATGTTAATTAAAATAGTCCAAACTATAAATTATTAAACATCTTTGGAACGTTACTAAAAATTAACCTCTGACTTTTAAGCATCTCATTACTATAGATTACCACACCAGCGACAACACTTCGACAAAATTAATTAAAAAGCATATCTTAGACCAAATCAAAAATTTTTATATAGACATTGATATATACATACATATGTACATATATGTAATTTATGTATATTTCTCAATATACGTAAATGCGATTAATCATTGCAAAATTCGATACAAAATTAAGAAGTAATTAATTTAACTCTTTATAGTATATTTTTATTGAGTCTTTTTATATTTATATTACTTTTACGTGTTTCTATGTATATATTTTTTTGAATATTTGTGCATTAGTCCCTTGTGTGTAAAATATGTATCAACAACAACTGACTAAAAGACGTTTGCAGAGGTTTTTACATTTGATGTTGATACAAATATTTACTTTTCTTACCTAACTCTTGCTTTAATATTAAAGTAATGTTTTTGTAATATATATTAAGTCCTTAGTTGTGGTGTATTATATAGGATGTTTCCTTTCATCGTGTAAATTTGTGGAGTTTCTTCAGAGACGTTTTCTTCGTTATAAGAATTATTATTCTGAAATAAAACGATTTTAAATTATTTATGTTTCCATAGCTGAATATATTTTTTATATAAAGATTTTTTTCAACGTTGTGAATATAGAGTAATGTATAAAATATGCCCCATTATTCCCGTGCAATTATTCTCGTTTTTACAACTAACAAATTTATTGGATGTTGAAAGGAAACACCTTTTGAGTATATATTATGGAGTCCCATATTTAGACCAGCAAATTTTTTTCGATAAAGATGTGCATATTTTCCAAATATTTTCCGATTTCACCCAAAATACTGATTGATGTCATATTTCCCAATCATTGCTTTCACACAAATTAGCATTTATGTTTTTAATTAAAATTTCTAGAGAATACATACATATACAAAATTTTCAAGTTCATCACTAAACAAAATAAAATTACAATTTATTAAAATTTTTATTAAGTTATCAAAGATATTTTCAGAAAAGATATCTGTAAATTGTATATTCTTATTCTATTGTAACCAGTACTTAAATAAAAGTTAACGAACTTTATCTATAAAAAATTGCTCGAATCATCCTTCGACGAAATGTAATATTTCATATAAATTGAAAAGTAATTTTTATTGAACTGTCACTATTCATGCGTATATTTAGCAATAAATTTCTCAATATATTTTATAATATTATTATAATAATATAAAAGCCAAACTTGCAATATAAAGTATGGTCCTTTAGCTGTAAGTGATATTATACTAGGAGGCAGGGTGTAACTGCGAACTCTGCTCGCCAATCCCTTGCAATCACTTTTTCATAATCAACAATATCTGCCTTTAACATTCTCTAAAAGTGGCATCAAATTTTTTTGAGGCTCAGTTAGACGGTAAGTACCGTAAGAAATTAATTCAAAGTGGAATGAAGAACCAACTTAACCTGCGTATTTGATAGGAACGATATAAAAAAAGTTCACGGTTTTTGTTTATTTCGATCCTATCAAATACTCAGGTTTAGTGGGTTGTGCATTCCGCTTTGAATAAATTCTTTACGTTACCTACCGTCTAACTGAGCGTTTAAAAACTTCAAAACTAGGCTGGGCTCTCATGACCAAATTGAACCGACGAATTTTTTTTATTTCATTATTAGTTTTTTAATTTACATTGAATGCAACAACAATTTAAATTTTATGCAGAGAGCCCATGACACTATATAATATGGCCCCTAATTGAATTTCGAGAAATGCTAAAGTTAATGTTATTTATATACAAAAAAGCATGTACGAAAAATAAAAGTACAAAGGCATGGATATAGTGCAGTGTTAGCATGATGGGCGTCATAAATTTACGACGGCACATACTACTTTTTTACAATAGAAAGATATTAAAATATAGTATATAATTAAATACATTGGAATACTACTTTTTACTGTATGAAAAGTTTTTGATAACAAACTTAAAAATAGTTACGATTTCATACATCTTTATTATAGATTTTACGTCATATAAATTAACTCGTATTTTTGTTATACGGGAACTATTGACATCTTTCTGTACACAATTTGTGTTAAATAATTACTCTAACATAAAAAATATTTTTTTTAAAAATGATTGCATAAAAAAATGTCTATCGAAAGAATTATTTCGGAAAATAAAGGACGTCCTAGTATAAACTTACTTTTGTATTACATTACTGTGTTAGCACAATATAGTTACTTTTATTTAGTTTGCATTTTTGAACATTTCGAAATTAGGTGAAGGTGTGGTTAAATGCGAAAGAGCCTATAAGAACTTTAGTCTTAAACATCATAACGTATGACAGAGATGTCTAAGTCCAAAATACTAAACAAAATTTGCCAATCTTCATTGAGCGACGATTTATACCTTCGTAAACAATGAAGAAAACTCAATTTTGATATTAAGTGTATTTATCACCTATGAGATGTAGGAATACAGTAATATTTACTTAACCAAATTAAACCAAAAAATATGTAAAATTACAAGCAATAAGTAATTTCTTTATATTATAGGTTTTGTTTTCAACAAACCCAAAAAGTATTGTATATTTCTGTCATTTTAATAAATGTTGAATGTACTTTCTGAATAATTCCACAAAACAAATTTCAGGCTCAGAATTGTCTTCAATATTTCCTTTACTGCATGATAAAAATTTTATTTATTGTAGTTTATGTAATATTCTATACAGGGTGTTATCTGGGAAAGTCTCTTAAATGCAACAAACAATATTCCATGGGAAACGAGTTCATTTTCAATATGAACTGAGATAAGAGTGTCAAACAAAAGCTTATCCCAAAAGTCGTCATACGGTTGTTTATTTAATTTTTAAATTAAGAAATGTTCAATTAATGGACATTTTTTTCGAATACACCTTTTTGTCACCCTGTATTGCGGTAAAAGACCGAATAAGTTGTTATTAACTTACCGAATGTAGAATAAGTAAATGACACAACGCAGAAGTAATTTGTTATAACGAATTGAATACTTTGTAAAACATAAAAACGCAAATCATTAGTTCAATGCGATCAACACTAAAATAATTGCTCAATACTTGTATCAGCTAATATATGATTTCTCCTGCTTGCTAGAGAATTGTTTACGGCACAACTAAATCAATCTTAATTTCAGGGATTGATAAAAGAATCCATTGCCATTTTTAAATGTGTATTATTAGTGTGTTTAGTTTAATACACAGCGAGAAATAAATGTGATATAAACATTTTACTCAATTTCAATACGAGAGTTAAATAATATGTTATAATTGCTAATTGAACTTCATGTGAAACTTATTGGTATTTTCTAATAACAAAACAATATTTAATTCTTTTAGAAATAATAACAACGAATAAACTATTTTCAGTGAAACAGTTTTTCAATTATTTCCTATTTTGATAACTGATATAATTTTAGGAATATTGCATTGTACGCAATTACCTAATAAAAACAAGTAAAAAAATACACTTGTTTAAAAAATTATCATTTGCAATTATTTGTTAATGTAACTATTATAAAAATTGTATATTCTAAAAATATAAAAAACGTTATAAATATAATAGTGTTTTCGCAGTGTTTTTTAAAGATAAGATAATAAGAACCCAAGCTCACCCATAAAAGCTAAAACTATGATTTGCCGATCTCTGCTTAAAATTACACATGAACTCATTCCTCCCGTACGATGTTGTTTTTTTTCAGGCAGTACCATGTATAAATATCTTACAAAGAAACCTAAAATAACATACAAGAGAAACCGTTCAATATATATAAGCAACTATAAAATTTACACTTTAAAGTGTATAAAATTTGATAGCAATATTTTACGTTAGTCGTATAAACTAAAAACATTAATTATACTACATAGACTTTTTCTATATATATGTCAAATGGTTGGTATTAGGGTGCATGGCTTTTTTTTTGTTGGTTGTAATTTATATTTAACATTTTTTTACGCGTAACAATTTTGCATGAAAATATAGATAAGGTACTTCGAGGAATATAGTAAAATACCTACTAGCAATTGATTTTAAATACCTTTGAGATGTTTTCAATGGAAAGTATACTTTATTACGAACAATTTTCAAATATAATATAAAAATTTGTTCTTTATAAATAAAGAGCTTTTCTAGGGCAAGTATCGTGCTTAAAAAAATGTGAACCATTATTTTTGAAACTTGCAACTATTTTTGTCGGTTTTTTTTTGGAGATGTGTTGTTAATACGTTTAATAAACGGAGCACGAAATTATCCATCTGTATGAATCCATATGCCTGAAGTTTTAGTTTAGTTTTTATGTTCCTAATATTAGGCATTCTCAATTCATTTAGAGTTGGAAAACCATAGCTTGCAGTCTTAACAAAAAAGTTAGGCTCGCAAAACAGAATTATCAAATATTTTACTTTATCGTTTGACATTGGATTTCGGAAGATACAGTTATTCAAACAAGTGTTAACGTGTTCGAATGGCTCCTATGTTCATGATCATTGCAACTTAAAACACACTTCATTTTGTTCAATGTTTGTTTTTGTTTTAATTGCTGTTAATTGTTATCTGCTCTCGATTACTGCTACTACTATTTCGCAACTACATCGTTATCAGTATGCATTCACACACGCCATTTAGGGTCTTGTGAATAATTTTTTGTGTAGCTAAATTTTAATTTTGCCAAAAATTTACAATAGTTTAAACATTTACCGACATTTTACCACAGCTTACCTTAAACTGTGTTGAAATATCACGACAGTTTTGGCCATTGCTTATAAGTTGCTGAATGTACTCCACTATTTTTTATAGATGTTATTTTGCACTGATAATAAATCATAAAAAGAAATGATGAATTGTGTCAGAAAAATTTAAGAAACAATATTAAAAGAGTCTACGCGTATATAAAAATTGAAGATAAAAATAATGATCACAAAAAGCCATTCACTTGATTTTAAATCGCATTTATATTGATAAAGGTAAATAATTGAAAAATAATAGTGAACACAATTGAAAGCGAGACAATTAAAACAACAAAACAAAATTGAATAAAATCTGGTGCGTACTTTCGTAGCAGTGATCAAAAACATAGGCATCATTCATACACGTGAACGGTAACTGTATATTAAAAAGTTGAACAGTATTTTTTGAAATACTCCTATAAGCATATTAAGGCCGTGTGCGAATTCGCGTAAATTGATGGTAATAGTAAATTATGTCGGTATGGCAGCGAATGTTGGTGTTTACCAGAATTTCGAGTATGGTAAATTAGGTATTACCATTGTAAAAATTTTATAAGATGTTTAATAAATAAATTTGAAAACTTTTAACAGAAAAATAATGAATAACTGCAATAAATAAACAAATAAATATTTACATAAATGCAGTGCAAAAAATTTACTTTATCTCAATTTACTCGAAGTCGCACACGGCCTAATTAAATATTTAAACCATATAAAAACTTTCGAATTGAATAAAAAAAATTAAAAAATCGATTTAGCACATTTAGTGTCGAAAAAAGTGTCTTCATTACAAAATATATTTGCAATTCAGTATTTATATATTAAATAATAATAATATTAAATAATCGAGTTAAACCTCACTAATGTTTTGCTAGCTAAATTTTTTCAACTCTAAATGAAGCAAAGAGTCATACTTTTAAATAATTGTTTACATTTTGTATTCTTATTTTTTGGCTATGCTTAAAATTATTGTATACACGGAATTTTGACTGTTTTGAAAGTTTTTCATTTATATGTGTGTAAAGTAAAAGTTTATATATCACATTTTTGTAACTGTAACTGTAACTGTAACTGTATGTTTAGTTTACGCAAAAATCATTATATATATATATATATACGGGATATATCCGAGGTGTTTCCAATGTGATTCCAAAGTTAAGGATAAGATCGCAAAATCTCAAAACTAACTTTTATAAAAAGTATGTTATTACAAATTTTTTGTTTTTGCGATTTTCACCATTATACCATATGCAGGGACCATTTTTGCAATCATTTTTAATGTGCTGGTCATACGGCACGAGTTAAGTAACTTCGAGTAACTCTGTGTATATACACAAGCGCGTTGCACCAGCAAATTTTCGAATAAATGAGAGCATCTGAGAGAGTATAACATCCCTGTCGATAGAGAATTAATAATGCTACACAGACTTTACTCATACATTTTATTTCAAGTAAAATTTGTGTGATGTGTGAATCAGCTGTTTTGGTTTGAATTTAAATATTCGAATTGTTTATTTGCGTGGCATTGGTGAAAATAAAAAAATGCTGAAATTTTAATTGTATCAATTGTTATAAATAAATAGTGAAATGGATAAAACATAATAAATATTTTGTTGAGTGAATTAAGCATTACAACACAGGCAGAATATAAAGTACAGTCAAACTTCCATAACTCGAACTTCCATAACTTGAATTTTCTATAACTCAAATAAAAAACAGTGCACCAAGGGTTTAGAGAGCAAATTACATACAATTCTGCATCCATAACTCGAACTTATGTAACTCAAATTTGTCTCTATCTCGAACAAAAATTTTTTCTCGTACCGATGGGAATATGGGGAAAGTGGATTCTATAAGTTGAATTTCTGTTTTAAGTATAAATGCATTTTGCTGCTAGGGGAAGTCCCTTTTTCGAAACCAAATGTTTAATTTTTTTCTTTCTTATGTTGCTTCTTTGTGCAAATGCCAGTCGCTGGCAGTGTGGTTTAAAGTAAATAAAATAACTTCCAATGCCACTCTTAACGATTATATTGAGCTTGACAATAAAATTTGTACATCAAGCTTTCCTACAGATGACAATATTATTGAGCACTATAGCTCTAAATTACTGGATCCAATTCTAAGCGCAACGGAAAGTGATGATAAGGGTTCTGTGGATGTAATTGCTTATTAGCTTTCCAAGAATGAAGTAGAAGATTCATTCAATATTCTGAATTTATATTTGCAAACGAATGATACTAAAACTGATTATCACTATAAGGCTTTAAATAAAATGGAATATCTTCTTACTGAAAATAACAAAAAAAATTAAAATCCCAAAACTAATTTCTGATTATTTTACTTCACTATAACTTCTGTGCAGTATTTGATTTTAAATAAATAAATAAATATCTTAAAATGTAATTCTAGTTTCTTTCAAAAATAAAAAACAAAAAAAAAATATTCTCTAACTCGAAGTATCCATAAGTCGAACCTTTTCTTTGCAAAATTGGACTTCGAGTTATGGAAGTTTGACTGTAATTAATATACTTGGAGATAGTAACTCTGATAATGATTTAAAATTGGTAATGCATTATTATATAAAGAAAAAAGAAAAAAATTACATACAAGATGTTGTTTTGAAATATGATGACAAGATATCCAAAAGTCATTTCTTCTCATCAGCAACAAACCGCTGCAATACTCTATTCACAAATTTATCATCTATTCAAAAATGCATTAAATAATTGCAATTTAGTATACAATGAGTTAATACAACTTTTTACCGTTTTGCAACTGCAGAAAAGATTCTTCTTCTTTTTCTTCATTACGTCTATAAAAATATCATAAAATAAAATTTTATGAATTCTAACTCATTCTAACTTTCACTGAAACAAAATTCTAACTCACCTTATTAAAATAAAAGGTGTTTAAAAATATTTGCAAGTTATAAAACTTTTTGTTTTTCAATATTTATTTCGCGATCTCATTATTCAATTTCTACTTCTGTTTTGTTTTCAAAAAACAGCTGTTTCTCAACAGACTACACAAAGCTGTTCCAAGATAATTTGTGCAAAGAGCGTAATCTGACATTTTATATGTGTAATGCTCTTAATTTGTACCTCGTAAAACAGACCCAATGTTTATTAACTGCTAGTTTCCATACTAGTACATCGACAGACTTTCGATTTTACTCATTTTCGTATGAGTGCTCTTTTTTACTACAATAGCACTTTTAAGATGTTTGATTCGCTCTGTTCTTCTGGTTGGTTTGAGAACAAGAAATAAATTTGGCAAAATAGTAAGTCACTAATATACCGCATATAAAAATAAAAAATGTAAAGAAATATTAAGTTGTATTGGGTTTATTATGATTTTGAACCATTATAACATCCAAATCCATTAAAATAAAAAATTAAATTAATCATCAATACTAAAAAACATTTTATGGTCAAAAACTGGCGTCTAAAAAAGCCTTAAAGATTAATCGTTTTTGAAATAGTTTTAATGAAGCACGATTTTTTCGGCACCTTCTTCGTTGTGTCGATATGGAAAATGAAGCCTGTTTTTAATTATATTTTTTTTATTTCTTAGCTCAAGGAATCACCACCTCCAGTTATTGTGTTTTGAAATGAAACTACCGTATATATATATATATGTATATATATATATATTTCCATAAAACACTTATTTAAATATTTTTAATAATATAAATATATTTTAAATAATATAAATATTATATTTGTACGTGTATTAAAGTATATATGTTATATGTTATTTTTTTATTCAAAGACCTTATTATTAAATGCTTATTAATACACATATATATATATATATATATATATATAAATAATATATATGTATACATATATTATATTTATATTTAGGATGAGTTCCATCCATTTATTGAGGCGCTTTTACCATTTGTTAAATCTTTCTCATATTCATGGTTTAATTTGCAAGCTGCTAAACGAAAATATTATAAAAAGCATGAGAAGCGTATGTCGTTGGAAGAAGAAAGACACTGCAAGGATGAGTTACAGGTTTCTTATTATTTATTACAAAACATAAACATAAATAAGATTGTTTATTTAATTTGTACGACAGAATGAAAAAGCGGAGGTAAAACAGAAATGGGCATCACGTTTACTCGGTAAACTTCGTAAAGACATAACTCAGGAATGTAGAGAAGATTTTGTTCAATCCATAACCGGAAAACGTAAATCAATATGTGTTCTATCTAACCCTGATCAAAAGGGCAAAATGAGACGCATTGATTGCTTGCGCCAAGCAGATAAAGTATGGCGATTGGACTTGGTCATGGTTATACTTTTTAAAGCAATTCCACTTGAAAGCACAGATGGTGAAAGACTAGAAAAAAATCCAGAGTGCTCGCACCCTACGTTATGCGTAAATCCTTATCATATTAATGTTTCCGTAAGAGAGCTGGATCTTTACTTAGCCAACTTTATTAATACACACGATGTATTCCAAAACACACATTCACCAAAGTCATCGTCATCTCCTACGTCCTCACTTATTTTATATGAAAGAAACGAGCAAGGGAATTTAAATAACAACAGGATTTCCACTAGCCGAAATAATTCAAGTGTATCCAAAAAGGAAGAAATTTTGCATGAGCACAAACAAAAAGGTAAGTTTTAAAGTTATATTAAGAAATTCTAAATTTTGAGTATATGTATTAGGTTGTCCTTTAAGTAAAGAAATGTAGTTGACTAAAAGTAATATGTTTTTTGTTTGTTCATTTAAATTTTTTTTGCATTGAAAGCACCTAGTAGAACAATCCCTAAACGGGACATAATTACAGTAACTTGTGAGATTTTTTTTTAAATTTATAAATTATTTATTATCTTTCATTTTGAAACTAACAATCAGTGGATCAAATCTTAAAAACTAAATTTATTTTTTCCTAGGTCATTGCTTTGTAAAAAACTACTTAGAGATTAAATAATTTGCATAACTTTTGCCTTGAGAGATTGTTACTTCTGGACTGCTAATTTGTACCTGATAGTAATTTTTGGGTGGCACAACATTTAACTAATTTTTGGGAAGTGTTCTCTGCTTAACTGCAACAAATGCAGTGCAATCTCTATAGTTTACTATATGTATTTTACCGCAATTGCTGCAATTTTTTGCAATTGCATCTTCCTTGGGTTTTGGGCATATGGAGGATTTGTGTAGATCTCCACATATACCACATATGTTACACTTGGTAAGGTGCAATATGTTCGAGTGTAGTCAAATTCTTGCCAGTTCGTACATTGTATTGGATCTTTTCTTTTGAGAGGTTCTACTACTGTTATCCTTTTATCTAAAAGATAACAAAGGTAACTTGTTAGATATTGCCATAACTTACTTACGATAACAAACACATATACTGTGACTTAAATTTAAATGCTAAATAAGTTGTACTGTAGAAAATCAAGTGACCCATCCTATGGAAGGCAGTATATTCGATTATTAGTTTCAAAAAAAAAACATTAGAACCAATTGAATTTTGGTATTTGAAGTAAACGTAAGAGAAATCTTATATTACACGATACAAACATTAAGTAAATGCATTGGAATACTTTGGTGATCGGATTGAATTTGTATTGCTTCTGTTTGTGCGTTGGTCTACAGCAATAAGCTGCTGTTCAAAATTGCTTGTAAGAGAGAAATGTCATATTATATACCGTTAGACCAAAAATATGTGTTGAACTGCAATATATGTGGTTTCTATATACTCTTTTATCTCATAGTCTTTTATTTCACTTTTCATAAGTGTTCATATCCGTCGCAGGCTTTACCCTCTGGATAATTGGAGTTATAAGACTCAATTTCTTTAATTTTGCATTAGTTACATTCAGTTAAGTGGGTTACAGATATAAGCATTATGTCAATCGCTAGCCTCTCTAGAAAGACCATCAATTCATTTTAGTGATGGCAGAAGCCGTTGAGAGAGTTCATGGTCTCGATAAAATAGTTTGCAATATAAGACTTTGATTTCTGATTAGTTGCTACATCGTGTTTTGCATTATGGTCATATGTTCTTCCACCATATGACTTAAATTGTTTAGAGTTTTTCGAGATTAAGTTCAGAGCTTCATGAGGACATGTTTTTGATTTTGTTGATTTCTTTTCAGTACATGGGCATATAAATCGTTTGGTGCTTATGGGGGTGTATTTCTAATCAGTTTCGCGGTTTCTGGCATTTGAACATTTAATAGCTGATTAATTTATTTCGTTTTTGACAATTGCGGTATGATTTGTGCCATAGTTTGTGCATTTCTAGGATTCGGAATTATATCAAGTAAGCTGCGATAGTTTTTTACCCAAACTTTTGACAATTATGACGCTGCACGGCACCTATTCGTTTATGTGATTTCTCTATTAAAATACGCCGATATAGGAGTATAGCAAATTATAAAACTCGTGACTTTTTTTAAGTTTTTACATAAAACATGTTTTTTATTTGTATCCAATTTACTAGTTATATTGTGGTAATAATGTATATTATATGTTTGAAATTTTATCTGTTGAATATTATCATTTTTTATTCAACTGATTTGTAGGCATCAATGCCAATGTTGTTCTGCCAATGTTGAAAGACTATTTTTTTTTGTTTTTTTTTATTATTTATTATATAAACATCTGTAAGAGAATATTCAGTATTACTTATTGATATAAAATAGAATAAAATGACATGTAGATATGTGCGGGACACTCATTAGTACACACCGCTAATGATTAAATTACAACTAATAATGAGTAAATAGTTGGCTATAAATGTTTAATTTCAGTGAGTTTACAATTACGATTCACGTATTTGTGGTTCTACTTGCAAGTCCAACGTAGAAAATCTTCTTAGTCGACGTGGATGATTGATATCTGATAACAGCTCTTGTGGCAGTGAGTTCGGGTGATTTGATAGCGTTATACGGCAGTTTTTGCTGACTGTTTGTGTTGTTTCTGACGGGACGTGAAGATCGCGCTGTGAAGTACTATTTGGGATATACCATGGAGCAGCCGCATATAAACGAAGTATTTTTGATTGAAATCTCTGCAATATCACTATATTAGATTTTGCAACTGTTCCCCAGATCGAGATATTGGTTTTCAAATAACATTATATAAAAATACTTTATTGTTTAGTGATAGCTTTGAATTTTGGCAAAGAAGCCAATACATAGAGTGCATTTTCAGACCCAATTGCTTGCGTTTCGTAAATATTTGGTGTTTCGAGGTGAGACGCCGATTAGGATGAACACCTAGATACTTAACGTGATCGGATTGTGGTAGTACGTTATTATTTAGTGTGACGGGTGGGCAGTAACCATTTCGAAGAGTGAATGTGGTTTGTGCAGATTTAGATTTATTAGCTTTAATGCGCCATTTGTTTAGCTATACATGGATGCTGTCTAAGTTTGTTTGCAACTGATTCGTAGCGACTGTTGGACCTTTGCTTTTAGCCATGATCACTGTGTCATCAGCAAAAGTTGCGGTATACGTTGATGGATTAAGTAGAAAATTAGCTGTGAACAGTATGTAGAGGGTTGGACCTAGTACACTCACTAGTAACATTTCAGCTTTTATTGGGAATACTTTCGTATTATAGTCTTCTATTTTAACCATGAAATATCGGTTATTGATATAAGACTTAAGAACAAATAGAAGCTGTGTGGTAGATGTAATTTCAGTTTGTAGAGCAGTCCGGTGTGCAATACCTTGTCAAATGCTTGCTTTATATAGATGAATGCTGCAGTGCAGTATTCTTTTTTTTCCAGACCATCTCTTGCGTATTGATAAACTCGATTTACCTGTACAATGATTGAATGTCGGTTTCGAAAGTCGAATTGGTGGACAGGAATTAGTGAGCGACTTTGGATGATATGGTTAATACGCTTTAAAAGAATTTCTTCGAACACTTAGGAGAGCGCTAGAAGTAAACTTATAAGTCTGTAAGATGTAACTATCTGTAATGGTTTACCTAGTTTTGGTATCAGAATAATTTGGGCTACTTTCCATTGACTTGGATAGTATTCGTGACTAATTGTGGCATTAATAAGTTGGTTGATGAACACGAGACCAATGTTTGGAAGCTCCTTTTGAACACTTTGCCAGTGATCAAATCGTACCCAGGAGCCTTTTTGATTTTAATTTTGATCTTAATTGTCCATTTCATTTCTAGTATTGCGGTTTTTGGAACCGGAAAATCCATTTGATGCGATGGTTGCAGGAAATGCTCAATTTGAAGTACACCTTGGAGATGCTCTGCGAAAGTTTGAGCATTGTCGATTTTGGATCTAGCCTACTGTCCATTATACATTTTGAGTGGTGGAATGTGTGGCGTTTATTCATTCAGCTTATGAGTGGTTCGCCATAATGAATAGTCAGTTCAGTGGGAGACAATTCAGATAGGTATGTTCCAATGTTTTTGTTTTTGTTCTCCTTTAGGGTTTTTTAAGGTTTTTTATCGCTTCATTCAATCGTCTTTTGTCTTCACGATTATTTGTTATTTGTCAAATTTGTGTAATTTACGTTTTTATAACTGTTCCTTTATGCCTATGTCTATGTGCTCTTCTTTGTATTCATTGAAATACATGGTTGAGTTCCACGCGGCATCTGTACGGTTGTATTAAATTGCTCGACCGCAGATTCGATATCGTTGCCGGTTTTGAGTGGGATGTTGGTTGTTTAATTTTCATTTATAATGCTTTTGAAAATACTCCAGTCTGTACTTTTGTTGTATAATTGAGGCTCTTTGTTCTTTACAAAGATTTTTGAGTTCATCTCCATAATAAGGGGAGAATGGTCTGAGGATAGGTCTAATCAGGAATGTGTCAATAATAATAAGAATAATAAAGAACAAGGTACAAGCTCCCATTTGAGCAGAGCACCGCGACCATGATTGATCTTTTGTGCTACAACAGACCCTGACTGAACAAAAGACATTCCGCCTTTCGAATGAAGGCCAAAATGTCGGTTGTTGAGGAGCTCCTAATATCGGAAGGTGCTAGCAATTCCCGACCTAGTGATCTCCTCCTGGCCCAGATCAAAGCTGGGCAGTCACATAGAATGTGGCTGGTTGTCTCCTCTGCCTCCTCTTCGGATAGGCCCATTTTGTGGTAACGTGGCCCATGGTGACCCGTTAGATATCCTACTAGCAACCTCATCTCTGTTCTGCTAAAGGAGGATATCTTATTATAACTATAGGGGAGAACCAGCTCTTTAGCCTGACGGTTACCTCGACTGTCGCGCCAGTAGCGACTTCTCTCGGTTGAAATCTAATTATTGATTAGAGACCTAGTTGTAGACCAACTTAATCACCAAAAAGGTTCTGGGCCACAGATTAGAGTGGCTGATCCTGTCCATGCAAGACTATCGGCAGACTCATTACCATTAATTCCTGTGCGACCAGGCACCCAGCACAGTGTCACTTTATTATTGCTTGCCAGCTGCTGCAGTGTGTCATAGCAGTCTGCTAGAAGCTTTGAGAAAAACTTCCAGGAGCATGACGCTTTGATTGCTGCTTGAGTATCTAAATAAATACAGATCCGGGCGCCTTTTAACCCCTTGTTAATGTTGATACGAGCGCAGACCTCGATGGCGTGAACCTCTGCTTGGAAGACAGTGGGCCAAATACGCAGCGCGAGCGAGATTCTGGTGTTTGGACCAAATATTCCAGCACCAACTCCTTCTTTGGTTTTCGAACCATCAGTATACCACGATATCACTTTTGGTTCGAGTCCAGGAGTGCCATTTACCCAGTCCAATCGATCGGGTATGAGGACTTCGAACTTCCTACCGAAGCGAAGTTCCATGTTCATGCGATCTATCCTATCGCAGATCTCTATGCCAGGAACTAGTCTGCATGTATCAATAATGTATCAATAATAGTGAGCTATAAATGCCTTTATGTATGCAAGAATCAATCACGTCTGAAACTTCATTGTGGTCTGTTGGCCAGTAAGTTGGTTCACCAGTTGATGCGTGAAGCAAATTGTTAGCCTGTATAGTCTTAAGCAATTCACGACCTCTTGGTGTGATTAGTCTGGAGCCCCACTGAGTATGCTTTGCGTTGAAGTTCCCAGCAGCTATAAATGTTTGAGCAAGCATATAGAAAAATTCCTCAAACTGATGACTTTTCATTTTTTAGTTTGGTGGGCAATAAATAGAGGTTATACAAATTGGACTTTTATTGTTTTTAACTCTTATTGATATTGACTGAAGAAATGGTTTTTCGAGTTTGTTGTACACAGAGTGATCAATATTTTCGTGGAGCTTTAAATGTAATTTTTGTGTGTAGTAGGCTGTTACAGTTAAAAATACCCTATTTGTATCTGACGGTTTCAAACCAATGAAAAACAACGGGAGTGGATTTTTGGTAAAGACTATTTGAGTTCCTTTTTGGATAAGATTGCGCACATATACCATAGTGAAATATCAGTTTTTCCTTATATCATTAGGACTCTTTCAATTTTTAAATGTTTTTCTTTTCAATACTATAATTTATTTGGGTTACTCTCTATTTTACATAACTTTAGATCTCCCTTTGCTTATTTATTCATTTGCAAAATATATGTTAACTTTAATGGCGAATACTATCTCACACGCGAATAGGCGTTAATACAAGCGACATTAAAAAATAGAAAACAATGATAAATACAAAGTCTAGACAATGTAGTACAAAAAAGAGCATTGACTGATTTTAATCATTACCTGTATTTATTTTTGACTTTGGAACTTTATTATCACAACACTTTCAGAAACACTGACTTATTAATTTGAATTACGTTGAAAGTATGATTTCACAAAATTGAAAAGAAAAACGATAATAATTAAAATTTTCTTTATGAGAAAAGGTAGTTTGAATGTTAACTGTGTTATTTCCTTTGCAGGATACCATAATCCCTATAATGGAGTGGTATGTAATGACATTATATTAGCAACTGGAGTGTTTTCGTCAAAAGAACTTTGGAAACTGTCAAAAGGTATTGTTCTTTCGTTAAAAATGATTAAAACTAAACCTTGCAAACTTTGGTTATATAATTTTTCTTACAGCTTCCATATTGGATGAAACAGCAAATGAAATAATACAGGCCAATATAAATGCTATAAAAATGGAAAATACATGTAACACTTATGAATGCAGTGCATATCAACTTCCAGCAGCACAAAATAATTTAGCAACGGCAAATAGCGCAGTTATCGGTTCTAGTGATGCTCGTACTCCAATTGGATCTTCTATGGTTGTTTCAAGTGGTTATAGCAGTAAGTTCCAAATTATGAGATACTAATAAATTTACCATTTAATTCTACGTTAAGACAACATATCAGTTCACTACTTGTAATGACTTTTTAGTATATGGGATTGTGTTCTTAATTCCCCAATACTAAAAACAAACTGTTAAAAAACAAACTGTTATTAATTAATATTTTAAATAAGCAATTTCTAAGTAATATATATTTTAAATATTCAGTTTTCAGTTTTTTTTTATTTATTAAAAATTTTAAAACATCGAATGATATTGTATAATAATTGATGCGTTAAATCTCAAGCTGTCGTTTTTATGCGAATAAAGTAACATCTTAATTTAAATTAACGTGGCAACAATCATAAAATATGGTTTTTAATCAATTCAGAAATCCAAAATTTTTTAATTGTTGGAAAATTTTAGAGTTGGTTATAACCAGGGCTTCGAAGCGAATTTTTTGCATTCCGGTTTTCGTTCCGGCAAAAATATCGTTTTTTTTCGGTTTTCGGTTCGGTTCCGTGTTAATGTTTTTCATGTATTTGTACACAAAGTAGTTTTTTTTGCCATAATTAAAATACTTATTCATTCTTTTAGAAAGCAAGGTTAATACATTTATTTAATAACAAAATTACTGCTTATATATATAACGATGTATTTTTAAGCTTCTTGCTTAAAATTGCTTAAATATCTTTAAATAGAAATAAAAAAATATATAAAAAACAAATTTCACTTAAATTTTACTTCAAATTAAATTTTACCTTTTCCTTTTTTTCTTACTTTTGTGTAATAAAAAAAAAATTATTCGTTTTGATAGTTCCAGTGCTTTCAGAAGTTTACCATTCTACAACGTTACTGAATACGCAGTTACTGAGTTACAGAGCTACGTCCGAATACTCCTATTATAATATTCATGGCAAATGCTAGTTTACACGATTTTCCTTTGCAATAAATGTTTAATTTTTTTTTCTAAAATTTTTATTTTTGTATGAAATTTTCGCAATAAAACTGTAACATATTAGGAGTATTCTGACAACAGATTAGCCGCTTAGCAGATTAAAAAACTTCATATAAAAAAAATTAGCATCTTGATTATAATCTGTTGCCTGAACGACCCAAAATGCTAATGCCTTAGAAGCACTCGTATCAACAGCAAAAGCGAAACATATGTTTACAGTAAAATACTCAAATATTCTTAAATTTTAATATCATTTAAATTTATCATATAATTTTATATTATTTAAAATGCCAAGACAAAGCGAAATAAATAAATTAATAAATACTTTAGAAAATATAACTATTGAGGAATTAAATTCTGTTGAAGAATTTGTAGTTGCTGGCATTCTATAACTCTGAATATTTGCGGAAAAATACTTAGGCAAACATAAATCTATTTGCTCATTTGTTTTGAATGAATGTGATAATATATGGATATTATATGTTCAGCTTGTAGAAGAATTGCATATTATTCAATAAGTACACATTTGCTAAATACCATAAATTATAAATTGGTTAGAGCTTTAAATATGTTATGACCCAATCAATGCACTAATTAAATAAATGAGATCTATGTCTTCGGCCCACAAACAAAATAAAGACAGGAGTAATTACTAGTAGGAATTCGCGATTAATTCTATTCATTTTATTCGTAATGCAAATTCAGTAACTGCTTTCAGCCAAACAAGTTTGAAGCTATTAACATAGAGCAGCGAATGTAAAATATTCTTCCAAGTACTAAATATTGATATATTATGCTACAACAAACTTAAAGGTACCCAATACCAACGTTAATACTAATAATAGCTTATTAAGCCAACAGATATTTCCAAAAGCTTTGCAATTTCAAACCAATTAAAATTATGCAGAATGGTTTAAAATCTTACATATATATTAAAAAAATTTAATTCTTACAAATTGACTAAAAAATATAAAAAGGAATAATAAATTGGAATGTTATATCAGCAATAATCAAAATAAATTCATAGTACTTCTAGTCTTAAATACTCAAATCGTTGATAGGAGCTTTCTATTGATGAAAAAATTGAGTCGTCCGGTGATCAAGGCAGTAACCCACTTATGGTGATTTCCTCGTCTTTAGCAATCTTCAGAAAACAGCCGTTTAATAACTTAAGCCTCTTCATCTTTGCGGAAGGCGCATTATGGGTAGCACCTGCTATAGGTGCTAATAGGTACATCATTTAATTTAATAGTAGAGACTAGATTTTTTGGCTAGAAGACTGTGATACGTCTTCAGAACTGGTACCCGATATTCAGTTAATTTTTTTAATTTTAAATATTCGTTTCTGTTTTCAATAGTGTATGGGAAATAGAGATCATCCGGAATAGGCGCCTGTATTCCAGAAAGATTACTTGAATCATACTTACATAGCGCCAATCAAAATTGAGCGTGATCGTTAAAATTTCAGGGCTCCACATCTGATAGATCTTTATTTATCAAAAACATCTATCTCCACCTATCGCGCTTTCACACATTCATATCTTTAGTCTTTCTGTCTTTCATAACTTAGTCTAGTCTTTCATAACTTATATATAATACACATAAACTACAAGACATTACGACTACTGGTAGTTCTTTATTCTACCATAGTCTGACCGACTTCGCGTTCTCTGCCTTTTGTATGTACAGCGGAGAGGAGTACCGTAATTAGCAGATTAGAACTTAACCACAAAAGCAATATGCGGTCCAACTGTCGGAAAAGCATGCTGACTCAATATCGTTATCATCGCCCGCGTTTAATCAAAAATATTAATATAACTCCATCACTACAGCATTTTGATACATTGAAAATTAAAACATTCAAACCCCACATTTGGCCGTTACCGAGTTTCGTCTTGACGTAACATGCACTGTCGGCTGTGTGCGCACCTTGTCTAGTCTCGTACATCAAGCCCGGTTAGTACTCCCTTAACTCGATTACTCCACTGGAGACACGGTCTGTGTTTACGCCTGCTTCCTCCAACTTCTTCCAACAATACTTGGTACAGCGAAGCCACTGGATTTTAATTCGCTTATTTATATCAATGTTGTTAAAAAGCTCGTAGAGCTCGTGGTTTATTCACAAAAGACATTACGAAGAACTTTTTTCTTGAACACTCCCAGTGCTGATTCATCATTCTGTAATAACGCCCATGCTTCTGCCCCATTCAGAAGCACAAAAAAATTATTTTTTGTCTGATCTCTAAGCTGACATAAATCTTACTTGTCATAGCGAGGCTAAGTTAGATAAAATCTTTGACAGATTCCGACATATGCTTCGCTTTGTCCTCATTCCCTCATTTCTCCCTACCTTGAGCGAGCTTCAGGGCTGTTTGCTCAGTGTCATTCTGCAAAGTCGTATTAGTTTTTCAGGTCTATCGAGCGCAGAAATTGCGGCGTAAATGCGATCTTTTATGGGGCTATCGAAAGCTGCTTTATAATCGACAAAAAGTTAGTGAGTGTCGATGTTTTATTCGTGGGCTTACTCCAGGATTTGTCGCAGTGTGAATATCTGGTCAATGACCGGGTCGAAAGCCACACTGATAAGATTCAATTAGTGAATTGGCATGTGGCTTTAATCTTTTACATTGTAAAGTCGAAAAGACCTTGAGCTCGACAGGTATTATATTAATTCCGCGATAGTTGGCGCAAATCCTCGGTCGCTATTTTTGAAAATTGTACAAAAGGTACTGAAATTCCAATTGCTGGGCACACTTTTATCTAACCATATTCTGTAGATAAACTGATACATGTTCCCTAAGCTATTCAGTATCGCCACTGCTCTTGAATAATTCTTCAGGTAGGTCATCTGCGCCTGTTGGTTTGTTCTTGTTTAGTCGCTATATGGTAACACGCACTTCGTTATGACTAGGTGGTGGAATTTCAACACCATCATTTTCGATTGGGGATTTTGAGAGCACATCTTCCTTGGTGCGGATTGTAGTAAGCCTTTCGTTCACTGATGTGGACCGCTAGACTATTTTTCTTTGTTCTTCTTTAGTCGCTATATAGTGACATGCACTTCGTTATAACGTTATGGTGGTGGAATTTCAACACCATCATTTTCGATTAGGGACTTTGAGAGCACATCTTTCTTGTTGCGGATTGTAGCAAGCCTTTCGTTCACTGATATGCACCGCTGAACTGTGACAGTCTTTTGTAAACCAAAAAACCGCATTTAAATTCATGCCTATTTGAAAGACATCTTTAGTCGATATCGCAGTTTGCTGTTTTAGAGCAGCCTGTTAATCGAAATTCCTAAATGGCGTTGATATCAGCCTTTCAGTTATTGAGGGCTTCTCCAAGTTGAATAGAGTCACCGTTCCCGTAGAGAGTAGAGCGATTGCATTGATTATCAGCATTGAAGGGTTTTCAAATCCGAAGCATTCTTACGTCCTTCACTGTGGATAGAAACTGCAGTACGAACTATTAGTTCAGGCTTTATTGGATTGTATTAGAACTCTGTGATTCTTTTAATATTTTTTTGTTTACTGTTAGTAATATAAAAAAAAAATAAAGAAATGAAAAATAAATAAATAAATAAATAAATATATTAAATGAAAAGTATGCAATAAGAAAATTTGGCAATGTATCTTAGATAAACTGTTAAAACAATATAACTAAGTTGTTCTATTTCCATGTTAAATAATTTGACTAAGATAAAATTCGGGTAGTAAATATTATAAATTAATTAAGTAAACATTGGATATTTACTTGTAACTTAATTTTCATTTATTTTGAAAAACTTTACTTGACAGTTGATTTTGTAGATCCACGAAGTATGCATTTAAGCACTTCACCACTACTACGTGAAAATGTTGGTCCATGTAAAAGTGATCTTTGCATTTCACCAGCAAATCATAGTGCGGCTGGCAACCATTGCAGTTTTTCAGTGATATTACGACCAAATGAAAACACTAGTAGTAATGAAAATAATCACTCGTCTGATATAAGTCTGCAACGTTTTACTCCTTCAAATAATCGTTCATTTATCAGTATGAATCACATGCGCTCCAATGAAGGTACATACGTTTGAAATAAATATTTTATTTTTAAATTTAATTAATTTAATTTTAGTATTCATACAACAAAGCTCAGGTACAACATTAGTTAGTAATTCAGTGAGTCCAAGTGATTTATATTATCAGCAGCACAGCAGTCCTAATACAAATTCCGAGGTTACTGATTCTTCAACAGCTCATCAACATCACCAAGTTCACCGTCAACAACAACCTCATCAGGATATGCCAGATTACGCAACTTATGTTCATGAGACAGTACCGAATGCTGCAACAAGCAACATAACTTCCAGTGATGATATTAATAGTACAGATAGCGTTACATTGCGCAACTCAAAACTAACGTCTGCTAATTATCAACAAACGCATTCATTTATGCTGCCACCACCACCGCTACCACCAATGGCGCGTCCTGTTGCTATTATTCGTTCAACTGGTGATCTCACAATAATAAATTCACCACCAATATCGATAACACCTCCTCAAAATACTCAAACCCCAGAACAGCACGCAAATGACAATTCACATGATTTAGAAACATTAACAAAACACTCTACAAAAACAATTGTCAGTAGTGCCAGTGTAAATGAGGTACATTCGAATACCAGTAGCAATATATCAGAAGTAATAACTAGCACTGCCTCGTCGTCAACTGTTTGTACTAGTGCCAGTAACTGCTCTAGCTCAAATGATATTATTGTTGCCACAATTTCACCCCCACCTCCTTGTCCACTAAGTCCACAAATGCATATAGATATTGCACGCTGCAAGTCTTTAACCCGTATTTCATCTCAATCATATCCGGGATCAAATGGACGTGATTACTTTAATCATTTTCATGCGCAAACAACTCCGGTAAGTTGATTTCTATGTATAACTAAATAGCTGTTAAATTTTCGTAATTTATTGATGAAAGTAAAAATGTAGATGTTTCAATTTTGTTGATGTTTCCATTTATTTATGATTACGCAAAATTTTGGCTATACAGAAATACATAAAACAACCGAAAATTGTTTATTGTCATCGATTTAAATTTCTATTACTTACATTTCAGCTTTTAGGTTATTCCAGTTCAATTCCATCTATGTCTGGTGTTATAAGTCCAACAAATCTAAGCTTGTACTCAACACCGTCAGTAGGCGGAACTACAACAATACACCGCACAACGCCAAGACCTCGATGGAATCCGTCATTTTTAATGGATGACGAATTTAACTTGATGTCACACACGATTGCAAGCACAAATCCTGAAACGTCTTCAGTTATTTTAATGGAAGATTGTAAGTATATAATATAATAATTAATAAGGAGGAAAAATTAATATTACACAAATGATTTAGTAATAGTCAAGTAATATAATATTTCTATTTTGCCGATTAATATTTATTTTAATATATTTAATATACAGTCAAACCTCTCTATAAAGAAGTCGTTGGTGCCTGCAACGAACTTCGTTATAGAGAAATTGTAGGCTTTATCCTACTTAATTTAATTGTTTATTTGTTTACTTAAACAAGAACTAATAATTCAATTTCGTGTGACGAAATTATACGTGTTCGTTTTCGATTTTTAGTTTTCGAATCGCTAATAGAATGACCATTTTTTTTTTCTAAATAAAAATATTGTAAGCTTCTTTACAAATTTTCTTGCATTGTCAACTCATCTCATTTTCAATATTAAGTGGTGAATATGCAACCGTCACATCACTCCCCTGGCAGTGACTGATTCAGGCGCGATGTCACGTTAAGTCAAATTTAACGTATCTTCTTGGAACCTGCACTAATCGTTCTCTTCGTGTTACATTACTGGATTTGGTATCCATTCAAGTATCTGCCATAGTTTCTGTATGTGATGAGCTTAAGTCTTCGTAGTCACTTGATAAAAATACTGCCTTTACTCGATCAACACTCACCCGCACCGGTTTTCCTTTGATTAGAAGATCATACGTCTTGTCTGAACGCGGTGTCATATGGTGTTTTTAATGGTGGGCGGATACTATCATCCCTCAAAAACACGTGAGTAGCGTGTTGCAGTTGCTTCTGTAAGAATACCTTTTCTTTTGAGTGGTATTTGAGTGGTATTTGGGACATCATCTGGCTCATATTTTCCACGAATTCATGTTCTAAGATTTTGTAATTATTATCTTGCTCCAGGAAATCGCTCGGCAACCGCAATGTTGTCCCATATACCATTTCTGCTGGAGTTGCTTTGAGGTCTTCTTTAAAAATATTTCTAAGTGCTAAATCAATCAATGGTATTGCGTCAGACCATTGATGCTCATTACATTTCATTGCAGTTTTGAGAGTCCTGTGAAGTCGTTCAATCAAACCATTTGCTTGAGGATGACATGGACTACTTCGGACATGTTTGGCACCAATGAGTTTCGCCAGTTCATTGAACAGTGCTGATTCGAATTGTCTTCCTTAATTTATTATGATCTGCTTCGGAACGCCAAAGAGCATGGTGCAACCATTGATGAGCGCTGTGGCCACCGTGCTGGCATGTATATCCTCGATAGGGACTACCGCTGGCCATCTGGTAAACCGATTCATACAGGCAATATCGGTAAACGTTTGACGATGGTAGAGGCCCAATGAGGTCAATGTTGTTGCGTGAATTTTGCTCGTTGGCACTGAAGACATAATTTAACTCGCTCCACCTTGTTTGTTTGTTAAGTTACAAAAGGACGAAAATGATTTGATGATACATCGCATGCAACGTCCTTAAATGAATTTGGAATGACTATCCATTCCAATTGAAGTGCAGATTTATTCGTATTATACAGAAAACCATTTGTTTCAATGTTGGTTTTCTGGCTTGCTGTTAATTGGTCAAGGTCAACTAGGTCTTCGTTGCTGACAGCTTCGATGCGTGACAGAAAATTATTCTTGCCAGTTATATGCATAATGTTAGTTGTGAATTGACCGATGTAATCTATATGTCTTAGCTGGCGTGGCGATGCCTTTTCCGGTTTCTGTCGAAATGCATACGTAATCGGCTTATGATCGGTGAAAATAGTGGAACGTCTACCTTCAATCGCATATTTGAAATATTTGACCTATTGGTAAATCGCGAGCAACTCACGGTCATACGTGCTATACTTGACTTGGGTGTTCGTCAATCGCTTTGAGTAAAACCCTAAAGGCTCGAGTTGTCCGTTGTTGGTTTGATTTATTGCAGCGCCAACAGCTACGTTACTGGCATCCAGTGGAGTACGAGGTTTGCGTCTGGAATTGGGTGAACGATTTTTGATGCATTAATTAAGGCTTCTTTGTATCCCGCAAGTGCGTTATCTGCATCCGCGGTCCATTCAATAACAGCTTTGTCCTGTTTTTTGTTACCCTTAATTAAGTTTTGAAGCCGTCCCTGGATCTCTGCCGCTTTTGGAATAAAACGTCGATAAAAATTGGTAATTGCAATGAATCGCTATAGCTCATGCATTACCCTTGGTTTTGGAAAATTTGCAATCGTCTCAATTTTCTTGCCTGGTGGACGGATTCCTTTATGATTAATGAGATGACCAAGGAATTTAACTTCTTTCTGTGCGAACACACATTTCGCAATGTTTATTTTAAGGTTATGTTCCTGTAGTCTTTGTAGCATGCTGCGCACATGTTGTATCTGCTCGTCTATGTTATCGGATGCGATACAAATATCATCAATATAACATATGGCAAAGTTAAACCCGAAGAGAACTTAGTCCATGAACCTTGGAAATAATTGTGCTGGATTACGAAGTCCAAAAGTCATCACATTAAATTCATACAGGCCGAAAAGTGTAATTATTGCTGTTTTTTCTCTATCCTCTTCCGCAACAGGTATATTAAAGTACGCCTTTTCCAAATCAACAGTTACGTGGATATCAAGACGCTCAGGAGATTTGTTTGTTGTCAGAAAGTACTTTGTTTTGTTCTCATTTATATAATAATTATAACGAAGCTGGAGGTGTTGCTCAACGTCATTTTATATAACCGTATAAGTTTTACTGAGATACCAAATTCAGATATAGGGGCAGAGGAGTGCTTCTAGTCCTAGTGTCAAAAGCAGTTTTGAAATCGACAAATAGGTGATATGTGTCTATTTGTTTTTCTCTTGGGTGGATTTGCCAGGTCTGAAGCCACACTGATAAGGTTCAATTAGTTGGTTGACGATTGGCTTTAATGTTTCACCTAGTACGTTTGATAGAACCTTATATGCGATATTTAAAAGCCTGATCCCGCGATAATTGGCGTAGTCTGCAGGATCACATTTTTTATGGATTGGGCAAAGCACACTTAAATTCCAATCGTTGGATATACATTCATCCGACTATATGTTGCGAATCAGCTGTAGCATACATTTTAATAGCTCTTCGCCTCTAGCTTTAAACAGTTCAGCCGGTGCCTGCAGGTTTTTGGTTTTGAACCGCATTATGGTTGTTTTAACGTCATTATGATCGGGATGCAGAATGATTATTTCATCGTCAACAATTGCGATTTTGGGATCATTTTCGCTTTCAGTCACATCAGTACTATAACTATTTAGTAGGTTCGAGAAGTGATTCCTCCAAATGTTAAGCATGCTATGGATATCTATCGCCAGATTAACATTTTGATCTTTGCAGGAATTAACTCTGGGTTTATAACCATTTGTCAGGCTTCTCATGCTCTTCGTACTAACGTCTTTCTGATTCTTTCTTCTTTCGCCTGAAAGAAGTTTCTTTTTCCTTCTTTTTTGCCGGTATGCTGAGATGCTGCATCTTTCTCTGCGGTAGCATCACGACACTCTTGGTCGTACTAGCTGTTTCTTTGTTTACGTTGATAGCCAATCACGTCTTCTACAGAGGTACGCATAGAGTTTAAAATGTGGTTCCATTGCGCGCATATATCGGCTTCTTCAGATGAATTTTCCAGATATTTCGACTTCTAGCTTTCGTTGTGCTTGTTCACGTACTTTTTTCATCGCACATAGACGTGTGTGGATCTTGGCTGCAACAAGATAATGATTCGAGTCGATGTTGGCTTCTCCGTTAGTATGTACATTTAAGACACTGGAAGCATACCTTTCGTCTATCACAACGTGATCAATTTGAGATCTTGTGTGGTGATCAGGTGACACCATGTTGATACTGGAATCTGATACTACTAACCACCATGTTTTTAGCGCGGCGAAATCAACCAGCCTTCTTCCATTATTAGAAGTTTTTGTGTGAACGCTGAACTTTCAGACAGTAGCACCAAAGATACGATTTTGATGTCATGATGGGGACAGCGTTCACATGCTTGTTCAAGTTGTTCATAGAAAGTTTCCTTGGTGTCGTCATCTTTATCTTCCGTTAGGGCATGTGCTTGTTAACTTAGTAAAATTGTCGAATGCAACTTTGCAAAATATGTGTCCCAAAATTAAGTGATTGAAATTACTTATTAGGCACATGAACGAAATTTAAATAAACAAAAAAAATCCCAAACAAACAAAAGGGAAGAACTTTTTTAACATGTATAATATACATAATATACATGTATAATAACATGTATAATGTATAACATGTACATAACATGTATAATTGATATACAAGAATATATAAATGAGTTTATATATATTTAATATACCTTCTGCTCAAAAAGTGTCCGGATTTTGTTGTTTGTTAACTACTTCTTAAGTAATAGACCTTTTTCAAAAAATTTGTTTTGTTATGTTGGTACCTTTCTTGACATATGGTACAAATTTGAGCGCCATCTGTCAATTAGTTTGTTTACAGCAGCTGTTAATGTGAGACTACCTCAAGTGCATTTAGCGATTTTTACTTTGGAAAATTCTTGTTGTACGCGATTTTTTGACCAAACACGGCACCACTGCCATCGCTCAGTCACCATATTTGCCAGATCTGTATCCGTGCGACTTTTTCCTGTTCCCGAAACTCAAATTGCCCCTTCGTGGTAAGCGTTTTGAGTCGATGGAAGTGGTAAAAGAGTATTCGCTAAATGAATTTAAAGCCATACCTGCACGGGCCTACGAAAAGTGTATGGAAGATTGGGTTAAGCGTTGGCATATGTGTATAGCTTCAGAAGGAGCATATTTTGAAGGAGATAAAATAAATTTGGAATAAAATTTAAATTTTTGTGTTTTATGTACAAAATCTGGGTACTTTTAGAGCAGAAGGAACAGTCGTCGAGCCATCTTCAAGTTCAAAAGTTTTAGCAATTCATCATTGATTTTCTCGCAAAAACAAGTCATTACAATCAAATTCTACAACAAAAGATAAAATGTCACTATTACATTAATGGTCGTAGCCTAACCATTCCTGTTGACCATAAGCCACTTCAATCCGAAGAATGATATCACTTTGTTGAATGATACCACTATTCTGTCATACGACTTCTCTATTAAATACATTAATACTGACAGCTTTGAATATGCCGACATTATTTTTTGATTAATCGCAAACAATGTAAAACCTGATGACACCGTCATAGCACCCATTCAATTATAAAAAGAAGAGGACATGAAAATCAATTGTTTTGCGTTAGAAACATCCACCAAACTTTCAATCACTTTTACTAATATTCAATTAGCAACTAAAGCCTGCCATACTCTCAATAAGGTCAATTTTCTACATTTAAAATGACTGTTGGCCTCAAAAAAAAAACAAATCAAATATAGTAAAGTAGCGGGATTTTTCCAGCATCGATATCATCTTATGATCCAACAACGAAATATTTTCTTTGGTGATAGAATTGTTATTCCCAAAATTTATCATCAGCATGTCCTTGAAGATCACCATAACGAACATTCAGGTTAATGTCGTATGAAACTACTTGCTGCTACTAAAGTTTTTTGGCCAAACATTAAAATATTAACCTTGATATCGAAAATGTGGTAAAAAATTGTGGCACATGCGCTAGAGCCTAAAAAAGTCTAATGAAATGTAGTTCATCACAATGGAAATTTTCTTCTGCACCATGGAAACGAATTCATATTGACTACGTCGGTCCAATCGACGTCAATTACTTCCTTGTCATCATAGACGCTTTTAACAAATGGCCAGAAATATTCAAAATTTTAATTATCACTGCAACAAAAAATATTAAGTTCATTGAGAGAGCTTTTGCGCACACGGCCTTTGTAACACAATCGTTAGTGATAATCCTCCACAATACGTCTCACAGGAATTCAAAAATGTTTGCAAATTCCAAGGAATAATTCACATAACTACAGCTCCATATAGTCCACAATCAAATGGCTAAACAGAACGAATCGTTGATCCTCTTAAATCGGGACTTAAAACGACAAAGGGTATTATTGACAAGAAGCTCAACGAATTTCTTATTTGTTATCAATAGCATCCTACAATCTCGGAATGAAATCACCACCGAGCTCCTAAATGGTAGAAAAATGAAAATTCGTCTTGACTACATCAAATAGTAAAAATCGAAAAAGGAGACAAAATTAAAACAGCTCAGTATTAGGCCTTTTCTTTTGTAAGCATATCACAAAAAAACAACTGCTTATTTTAAAAATAACATATGAAACAACAACGCTGATCGCTTATTTAGGCCAACCTTTTTGAAATCGCTTAACTAATAACCAGGTCAAATCGCATGGTTGCCAACACTAAAAACTCGGCTATTGTGAACGATTTTTGGAAGTACCTACGAAATTTCCAGTTATCTGTCAACGAATGATTTCGTTAATTATTCGTACTTCGTGTCGTTATTGTTCGTAATAAATAGGTTTTTTTTTTCTATTTACTATTTTACTGTTAAAAGGCACGAAAAATTATATTTTATTCAGAATCATGTAAAAAAAAAATATTTTCATCCATAATTGCAAAGAATTATTATTATTTATTATCGAAATTTCAATACGCATTTCAGAAAATGCCTATTGTAGATAACGTTTATTATAAACTTCATTCCACTAATAATAAATGGACTCAGATACGTGCTGTAGTCATAAAGAAACTTGGAGTAGTGAACTATGAATTAAAAACTGATAATCAAATTAATGAGCGCTTTATTAAAGCACATGTAAACCAACTGAAGTATTGTTATACAAAAAACGAACTGAACTGATTGAGGTTCATTTAATACTCGTTTACAGTTGAACCATTCATTGTTCCCAATGAAGCTTATGTGGCGCAAGAGATTCCATCTTCTGGTATTGAGTAGCAGACTAATTCCAGTAATGATGTTAATAGCAACCAGAAAATACCGACTATAACACATAACAAAGACGGTCTCAAAGGGCTACATAGGGTCATACGCCACGTTAGCATCAAGAGTACCAACGATATTAAAAGCGGAGGACCGTAGTAAACGGACGTTGTACAACACTAAAGGAAGTTATGACACAGCTGTCAGAAAGATGACGATATACATATTTTATATTTTATTATATTGTATAACATAATTAAGATATATAGAAATAAAGTGATATTTAGAGCATTTTTGTTGTTTCATATGTTCTCTATCATAACTTTCGTGTAGTTGTTTGCTACGCTGAAAGAATAATTACGGCTTTTGAAACTTTAGCAAAAGGTTTGTTGTTTTTTGCCGCACTTTTGGCGCAGTATAGAATTTTAGACTATATTCAGGGCGCAATGTACAGCCCATATAGTGAGAATATTATACCAACAATAAATAACAAGAACTACAGGCTGAAAATTGATTTAAAGATTTCAAATATAAATATAATGTACTGAACTAAAAAATAAAATAAAACAAGTTTTTGTACTAATGTAACAATAATTTTTTTTTTCATTGCAGCATCTGGCCGCTTCAATGATGACTACGCAACGACTCGTGATTACGTTGCATGATTTTAAATGTAAGTTTTTCTGTTACTGAAAAACTTTTATTCGCATTTAATACTATTACTTTTGCTATGTGTACGTACGTAATAATTTATTCTAAAATCTTAAGGAAATGATGCCATATCCGGTTGCACCAGTTGGATAACATATATGCGTCAATCGTTTATCATTTTATTATTTAGTTTATTTGAATTAGTTAAGAAAATTCACAAAAAGGCTGTAAATTATATTAGATATATTTTAAGTATTACTTCATGTATAACTAATGCAACACATACTTATGTTAATATATAAGTATATCAAATTATACTCACTTGAAACACTATAATATGCCAAACCTTACCAAATACTTAGTATTCTTAAACTGTTTAATACACATGTACATATTTACGAATATATTTATTTACAAGGACTTTTCTTGGTCGAAGCAAAAAGGGGTTGATTCGAAATCTTCAGTTAAAAGATTTAATATCAAAGCAATCGCTCACCACACTTGTTTTTATTCAATTAAATATACTTCAATTTGAGTCATAACTTATTATTCTTTCTTAATGCGATATAGACTTATGCGCGTTCGAAAGTGATTTTATTTTGAGATATTTTCCGTCAGAAAAATGCAATCAGAATATAAAACATAAAAAAATATCACAAATAGTTATTTTAAATAATTTAAAGTTTTCGTAGTTTAAGTGGGTAATAATTCTCTATCACTCACTGATTCAACCAATCTTAACTGAATATGCTTCACATATTTAGTTGTGATATTTTCAAAATTTTCCATGATTTCTACAAAATTCGTTCATGACTTTTTATAATTCTTCTTCATACTTCCTCTTTATATATTCAAAACTAAATTATTTTCCATGTGTCATATTGACGTTCAGATATTAAAATTTATTGGTTTTTAAAATAGGTGTATTCGGCCACTCCGCATCGTGACAAAAAAAAAAAACAAGTTGCTTGCTTAAAGCCGCTAAGTGAAATATCAATGTTGCAATCTGTCAAATTTTATGTTCGCGAAGAAATTCTAAGCCTGAATGAGAATTAACTTCTTAGTAACTAATAAGTTTAACAATTTAAAGCGCTTTTCAATTACATAAATATAATTTTTTTTATAATTTATATACACAATTTTGTACATATTAAATTATGTATATATTTTTAAATTATTTATTTTCCAAAATTTTGGGTATTTTTCAAGTATTTTATTTCCACAATTTTCAAGTTTGTGAAACTTTTGAATTTTGTTTAAAATTTTGTTTACAAACATTAACAGGTGACTGGAATATTCGTTGAAATTTTCAATGAAAGTTCACAATAGATCGCTTATCGGCTTGGTGACATTTTTTTTCTAATTAATCGGCTATATAGAGAGAGTAGTGTTGCTATTTTACGTACAAATAAGTCACTTTAAGCAAACGACTTGTTGTTTTTTTGTCACATTTCGGAGCGACCGAAAACACCTAATATTACCTCACTATTTTCATTTGTTGTTTGATTATAGTATACCGTATAGTACTTATAAAATTATTGAGAGTAATGTTCTTTTCAATCCTACACTGAAGCCATTGTGCCGATGCAAATACAAGATACAATCGACTAAATTAATTTCTGTAGATGAAGCGAACGTAAAAAATGTAAACGGCAAGCGACAAAACGCAGAAAATGTCATAAGTTATGACAGAGTGCCGACAAAGCCAAACAGCATAAAAATACAAATATTATAAGTTCTACCCGATCACATATACTTCGCACATACAGAAATACAATGAAATTGCTCAATGTTTGTATCAGCTGATATAAGATTTCGTTTATATTCATATATTAATACGTTATTACGTTTCTCTTACTTACACTTCGGTATGAATAATTGATTGATTTGGTTGTCATAACGTAGAACGGGTCAGCTAATCTCTAACAGTACAATTCATTTATCCTTAAAGTTGAATTAACATTTAACTAAGCAAATATCTTCCTAAAATTATTCTTTTTTGGTCATTTGATCACAAATAGTGAATACATTGGTTCATGATTAATGACGACATGTTCTTTATACTAACTTGCATAGTGTGGATCGTTGAATAAATAAATTTTTTGAAACTTAAGCATGCATAAGACGATGCTACGTATATGCAAACCAAGTATGCGGTGCTACCAAATCGCACTGTGTATATACAAGTATGCATACTAAATTTCGGTTTGCAGACATGTATGTGGTAAAATTACACCTTGTTTCAAAGTGTATAGCAAAGCGCATAGTTGGTCTACAACTTAGTGTGCATACATGTACCATCTTCTATATCATGCTTAAGAAACTAAGGCGCTAATGATCACACAATAAGAGAAAGAATTGACAAAGACCTTAAGATCAACCAAACTGGAAACACATATTAGGTTTGTTCCACGAGATGCTCGTAGCAACTTTGAGTAACACTGTGCGTTTTACCAACAAATTTTCGAATAAATGAGAGCATCTGAGAGAGCGTAACATCCCTGTCGATAGAGAATTGAAAATGCTACACAGACTTTACTCATACAGTTTATTTCAAGTATATACAGTTTGTGTTGATGTGTAAATCAGGTGTTTTGGTTTGAATTTAAATTTTTGTATTGTTCATTTACGCGGCACTAGAGTTCTCATAAGACTTTATAAAAAGCTGTTCCATGAAAATCTGTGTAAAGAGCGTAATTTGGCACTTTATTTGTGTTACGCTCTCAGCTCGTGGTAGAAACCAATTTTTTTAACCGTTTCAGCTCAAATAATAAAATAGCTTCTTGATCCCTTATTATTTTCAGAATTTATGTAATTTAACAAGAAGGCAGTCTGTATAGATATACATATTCGTAACATTATTAATATAAAGTGTACATTGTATTTAAATAAAAAATTTTGAACTTAGTATTTCGGAGAATTTGTTCAGACAATAAATAGATTATTAATCCAAATACTATCACTATTTATCGCATAGTTCTAATATCTCTGTGCGCTCACTTAATACAAAAAAATTAATAATATGCTTCTTTTTGTTGAGCATAGAAGAAGAAGCAGACTACAAGTAATCATAAAAAAGCGAATCCTACAGTCAGCTGTTGCATAAATGATTGTTTAAAAAATATATATTCACATATATATGATATACTTTAGAGGCAATTTATTTACTTTTAAACGTTAAATTTAAGATAACTGTGTAAAACTCCTAATATATTTAAACTTATATATTTTTACATAGATAGTGACAAGATCAGACAATAGTAGTTTATAAAAAAATATATGAACTCTGCAATAAAAGTTTAAAATATAAATATTTTACTCATAAAATAGGATATGTATAGGAAAAATTAATTCATGAAATAATATACATACATATGTATAAGGTATATATAAACCATAATATAACCAAAGAAACAAAAACGCTGGAAAATACGTGTATATTGATATAAACTGTATATTCGTTGTACTTATATAGAATTAAGTTGCTAAAATTAAAAGTGTCCCTAGCTGAAACCTTTAATCTTAAATAGTACTTATTTGTTCATATTTATATTACGTTATTATACGAGTATAAACACGAAGCAACAACAAAATATTACTTATACACTTACGAATGAGGTAGTATTGTGCCTTCGGTATTTTTACTAACATAAAATCTAAATATTACACAATGTAGTTTCTACCAAAATATGATTTAAATATTGTCTTCCCATTTTAAATTTTAATATTGTTACAATTAACTTTTAAGGTTTAACATACTATAACATAATGTTAATATTATTGTCACACAGTACAATTATGATATTATTATTTGATAAGACGTTTAAATTCCTATAGTATTTGCGTGTTTGAAATGATTGGAGATCTTACAACACTAACCTTTCTGAAAGTAAAAAGTGTTTTAAACATCTGTGGTACACGTTATTTACTATGGAGAGATTATGTGATGATCTATTTATGTCAATAATTATAAAATATGAATAGCAATTAGCATTAATGCGGCATACACATTTTTCGGTGCTACTCAGTGTAAACCAAACTCAGTGTTTGGTGTAGGGTAGTGTAGTTTCTTGGTCATGAAATCTGAAAAGTGTGTGGTATGCATTGAAATAATATAAAGTCGGTTGTCGCTTAACGCATTCTAGAAAACCAAATAAACCATACATATATTTATTGCTTAACCTGGTCAGTTAGCATCAAGTTATGTATGAAAACAATTTTGTTACTTTTACAAATAAACACTTTTTATTAGATGTGATGGTATATTAACTATTATAACTCTGAACCTATTTAGGTTAAGTCGTTTTAAATCTGTCAATAATACTTTAGATATAACATTAAGGTTTATATGAATTTGTAAACAAGCCATAAAAGAAAAAATTATTATAATTGGCTGTGAAATTTATTTAATGAAAAATTGTGTAAAATTTATATACATACATATATAATCTTTCAAAAATATTGTGCATTGTGTACTAACTCGAGCGTATATGCTTTATAATGATATGTAAGCATTATTTTAATGTTAAAGTTAAGTTCATTATTGTTACTATTATAGTTTTATACATTTACTATTCATTTTAGTTCTTAGGCAAGAACAATGTTAACAAAATAGAATACAATGCTGCGAATTACAATAAAACAAGTTATTCAAACTTGTTCTATTTACTATATATAAAAAATATACATAAGTTTCGACTATGTCGCTTTGAAAATACGAAGATAAGAGATTACTAGTAAAAGTAAGAAAATTGTTAGTAAAACTGCTTATGAAATGTGCAAATCTATATATTTAACAGATTGTTCTGTTAAGAATATTTATAAAATTTATAATTTTTTAAATTAAAAAACTTGTTTTCTTTTTGTATATTATTATATACAAACATTATATTTTGTTAGTATCTTTATTAACAGGTTTAGTCATTTTTAAATGTCATGTAATAAAATAAAAACATTGGCTTCTAGTGTTATTTAAGTAGTTAAATAACTACTAAACATATAAGTTTAGTTTTTTCTAATTATTTTTTTTCCGATATTTTACGTAATATAAAAAAGTGTGCTGAACTTAGAAAGATTAAATTATTTTTTAGAAATTTGTATGGGGTTAAAAAATTTAATTTTTTTAAATAAATTAATATCAAATTTATTCTAGAATTGCTAAGAACGAATCTATGAAAGTAACCTAGTAGAACTCATAGCGCTTATGACTTGACTTATTCAGTACTCTAAGTGGTGGGCAGGAATGTGTTGCTCTTCTGAAGGAAATTTGGTTTTACGAACATGAGCATTCAATTACGCGCATATCAGTCCAAGTTGAAATTTTTAATTTTTCACTGTCTTTTTCATCAACATGCAGCACTTCCAGTTCTACAAGCTTTGAAGGTGCGCAACAAGGACGTGGAGCACGTGTTCTATTTTGCTTCCATATTAAACTTTGGAGCATTGCATGATGGTGTGCAGGATTGTATCGGGGAGGACAACGACCATGGCAATAGCCTGCATCAAAAACTTTAGGTTGAATTATAAACTCGAATCCTTTTATTTCTTTGAAAATTACTTCCATTGTATGCCTACAACATCGTTGATTTCGATCAGTACAATAATTTTTTTGATTCGCTAACTCTTTCACATTACTTTCAGTAGACTGATTGTTGACGTTATGTTGTTGTTTTCTGGTCTCATGTTTTTGTTGCATACCCCATAAATGACCAATGATATTCAATACCGGCATTAATGATTTTGTGTTATTGGTTTCATTGTAGATTGCTTGCTCTTCAATTTCGTGATTAACTGATGACAAAAATAGAGGTAAGTCATTTAAAATGCGAGCACCAAAACGCTTACAATAAGGACATTGGACCTCAAAACTTAAAGGTTCTAAATATTTTCCGTCACTTATCCAAGCTATCACTGCTTTTGTGACATCGAATTGTAGCCATTGTGTCTGTGTTTCATCTAATTTGTTTTGATCTATCACAATATTGACTTTATGGCTGTCAAGCCATTTTCTCTTGCCGTGTTTTTGTAAATGCAAGATGTTCAAATTAAGACTATGTGTCTGGTTTATTTTTCGTTCGTGTACTGAATTTTTTCGAATTCCACAGTTTTTTTTCGGAATACTAAAATTCGATTTGCTAAATTTAGTTGATAGTGCTGGGCTATGTATAAGCATCAGTCTTACATTTGCTTCTTCAATATCCTCTGGGCTTAATTTTGTTAAATTTCTATTCAAAGAAAAATGTAACAAAATACGAGTTTTTACATAATTACGGGCATGTCTGACGTTACGTGACTGCTTATTAAGGTTTCCTAAACCGAACATCATCATATCCCTTTTTTGTCGGTGCTGTGTTGTATTATTCAAAGAATTACTTTTTTTCGGATTAGTTAAAATACTAATGATATGTAATGGATTATCTTCGCTTGTTTGAGATGAAAGTTCTCGTTTTTTTCTTTCGTGCATCCGTCGCAAATATTCTTGATATTTACTAGTGTATTCCAACTGGCTTATGTTTATCTGTAATCAATAAAAATATTTTTTAAAATAATAGAGTTAATAAAATAAATTAACAAAAATGTTTTTGAAACTGCAGAAATCTTCAAGAATACAGTTATAATTTACTTAACTAAATATATATTAAATTTTTTTTATATAAATTTTGATGATTTTGACTTCATATATAGTGAGCGACAATACTCTACAAACGGGGGGTGTATTTCTGCTAGCTCGTAAATCCAAAGACATAATAGAAAAAAGTAATGATACAGTTTTGTTTAAAACTATTTTTTAATAATAATAAACAAAAGAAAATTCATTCATCAATATAAATTAACAAGTTATTCGAAAAAAACCTAAAAAAATAATTGACAAAAGTCTACATACACTTCATTAATTGTTACATATAGTCGACAGTAATTTAAATGTTAAACGGGAAAGTACCGTATTTCATATTTCCTGCTTGTGGCATGAGTCATACATTTATATAACGCATTAAGTTGTGCTTTGTGAGTGGTATTTAATTGACACGATGGGTCCACGAAAAGAAATTTCAAGTGATATGCGAAATCTGGTTATTAAGTATAGAAATGAGAAAAAACCTTATGGAAAAAATATCAAAACTAGTAAATTTGATTCGATCAACAGTTCAGACGATAATAAGAAATTATAAAATTACTGGTTCTACTGAAAATAAGCCTCGCAGTGGCCGTCTAAGGCAACTCACACGTAGGGATGTCAGCTTGGTTTTAAAAGAAGTTGACAAAAATCCAAAGGTAAGTGCCTTAAAATTAGTCGAACACATTGCTAGTACAACTGGGAAGCATGCCATATTACATATGAAATAGATCTATCAATATGAATTTGTGAAAGCTATGCAATTGATACGGCGAACAATAACCACAATCAGAACGAATTTTTACTTAGTTTTATAATCGTGAACGAACCATGCATCCATCACAACACTCCAAAAATCAAGAAAAAGTCAAAGCTGTGAACTTTTCGGTCGGAACGTGGACTAAAGAAGGCCAACATAAGTCTTTTAATTATAGGAATATACCCAGTATCAATTACACCATTCCATGAAAAAGTAAAAGTACGGGTGCAAACACGTGTGTAATTCCCATGGCAAGAACTATAAATTGTGTTACGAATTATCACTTCATCCAATATATTTCCATGATTTAGTCCCATGCGATTATTGGTAACCTCAAGAAATTGACCGTCGGTAAGAGAATTGGGTTAGATGAACAGTGAACACTCGCTTATTTTATATATAAGAACCTTTAGGATACTTATTACTTAGAAAGTATAAAAATATTGGGAAACATGCTGGACAATAAGTATCAAGTAAAAGCAAAAAAACGCTTTTTTGCCAAAAAATATTAAATATAATTTAAATCGTCACAATTATCAAGCTGCTTATTTATGTGATGAATAATTAAAATAGCTGTTCACTAAAGTATTAAGTTACAAAATAACCATAATCTGAGACTGTTATTCGAAAATTTTTCGGAGGCACTGACAAAAATAGGTTTAGTTGGAAATGCGGAACAAGTTTTTAATAGAACAAAAAATGCTGGCTGATTTGGTATAGTATTACGATCAGTAGCGAGGCGTCAGCTTTTTGGCAAGGTGTTCACAATTTGATCAAAACAAAATTCCAACTGTAACGTATTCCCCCAACTTCTGAGTTTTGTCCTTTCCACAAGCAAATAGCATACAAGACCAACAAAACAATTTATTTAAATGTTCACAGCCTGTGATCCACTGGTTTTTATAGTAAATAACTGTAGGAAAACGGCGACTTACCACAGATTTCGACATTTTTACATCAGGTACCAAATTCTTCATATCTGGAGTTGGTCTATTCATTTTATGAATTAAAACCTTTTTTTCAGAAGATCGTTTCAAAAAAGATATTTGAATCAAATCTTTAATTACCCATTTATCCATTTCTAAATATTATTTTTCAGTTCAAATTTCTTTAATTTTTTTCTTTACTTTTACCATTTGCTAGTATTAAATTGCAATAATGGCTGTTTTTGATTTATGTCCAACCTCTACATAAGAGTAAGAAACTCTCATGCATTCATTTACTCTTTTTTTTTTGTATTTAATATGAGCGGTTCAGTTTTTTTATTGAACCATTTGCCCATATAAAACGGCAACCGTAACTTTGATTGTATTTGTATGCTTTGTATGAACTTGGGGTTCAATTTGGTCGACTGAACCTCTCTTCAAATGTAAAGCGATTTTCGCTCAGTCATTTCTTTTTTCTTTTGTATTTAATTTGCATTACATTGGAGGTTCACTTTTTTTATTGAACCACGCATTAATTTAAGAGTTATGATTATTTTACGTACATATTTTGCGGGGCTTGTTCTCTGTTTTATTTTTATATTTGTTTGAACATAGTCCCAATGTAAATGTTATTTCATTTGCATGATTTGTAAGCAGCGTGGTGCAGTTTTTATCATGAACCTTAGTATATTTTAAGAGGAATGTATTTTCTCTTTCATTAATTATAAGTAATGTTGGGTGTAACTAACATATGTATGTGTGGTTTTGTTTGTATTATATGTTTTTTGTTTATGTTAATCTGTTTGGAAAAACTTTTATAAAAAATGTTAAGTAGCAACATAGCGAAATTATTTACCTAATAAAAAAAAAGATCTAAAAAGGAAACTTTGCTAAGGTGTTCAGTGAACACTCTGAACCATTCGACGCCTCGCCTCTGATTACGATATTTGATTTGAAGTTTCATATCAAACATTTAAAATGATGGCAAGATAACGCAAATTTAATGACAATAAGTCAATTCAAGTTACACACCCATCGCAGCAAGAGATTCGGATTGCCATCCTATACGGATTTCGACGTAATCTTAAGCCAGTGGAAATATTTACTGACTTGAAAATAGTATATAGATAGACTTGCTTGTGACTGCGTCGAAGTGGTTTCGGAATTTCAAAAATGGGTATTTTTCAGTGGACAGTGAAGTGTTTTTCCCACGATTTTGTTTCTAAAATTTGAAAATGATACACCACGTTCAATCAAATTGTAATAGATATAGAAGGCTTGGTTCCACAAATACGATCCAAAATAGAAGTTGATGCACAGGCAGTGCTAATCCACCAGTAAAATTAGAGTACAGAAATCAGTAACAAGGAATGTCAATTTATGTCAGAGAAGGAAAAATCATAGCTGTTATTACTCTAACGACTGAAATTTTCAAATATTGCAAAAGGCAGAATGTCCTAGTTTAACAATAACTGTTACGATCCCTATATTTTATATATAGGGTGTTTTTTTTAGCTGCATAAGAATTTAAAATGATAATACAAGACAGAAATATTGTTGGAATGAATTTTTCATCAAATAATTTCATTGCATTTATTTTTTGAATATGATCTCCGGCATATAACCACCTCGGCTATGAGTTACATGGTCCATTCGATAAGTCCGAATTTACTCAAATAAATAAAATTCCTGATAACATTTTATTTTAATTTCTTTATGACAACAACCAAAGCACTTGCCGTGCTTTTAAATTAGAACGAGCTTATAAACTACAGCTTTATTTTTGGAAACACAAGTTCAACGAATTGAAAGTTTAACTTTTGGGTTTTGCCTATTCTTTATTTCTTTTCAAAGCTACTCTTTTTGTAGAGACATTTTGTAATGCATATTGTTTTACTTACTATATGTAAAGCGACCATTCTGGTGCTTTTTACAAAGAAGCTATGCTATGTTACTCTACAAATCCGCTTTTTGCGGTTAGGAAAAGCTGAACAATATTATATTTTAACATATTGTTCTTTACTTTTCACAAGTCTAATATTTGAATAAAGTATTAGCAAGAACACTAAATACAAGAGGACTTTTCAACTCAGGCGATTTTATTTCTACACACATTAGGCCATTCAAGAGGAACGCGGAGATTTTGATTTCTCTCTATAGTTCATATTTTTATTTACATAGTGCTACATGTGCAAATGAAGCATTAATCAATGCTCGAGGCTTCCAATAACAATTTGCCTTAGTTAACTAACACAATAGACAAAAAACATTACACATCTATTCTTCATTGTTATTGCACACTTACTAAATTATTTCGTATGCATGAGTAGGTGAGGCAATATTTCTGAAGTTAATGCATAGTATTTGTGTTTGTATATTTTTCCTAAAATATATGATTGACTTTGTATGCATGTAATGCACAAGTAGTTTCAAATTACTATAAATTTGATTTCTGATGAAATTTTATTCTGGTCTCATTCAAATATATAAGGTTTGTCTATTATGAGATTAGTGAGCACCGACAGTAGTACAGTACTGTGCCCTATAGTAGCAATGATATGAAGTATATTAATATTAATAAACATCATATTGTTTTTTAAAATACTTTATTATTAAAGTTCAAGTTATCATCAAGTTATTATAAACATTGCATTTATTCTTAAATCTAATCTTACATGATAACTTATATAATATACGAACTATTTACGACCTATTTACAATAATTATTATTAACTTATCACTAAGGACATGGCTTGAATGTCTGAATTTACATTATCATGAACGTAACATGAACATGAACTTGAAAACCGATCACCGATAGATGAGAGAGAGAAAAGAGTATGATGTGAGTTCATGAATTTCAAGCAACGAAATTTACTGCGTTTTTTCAGCTTGTCACGCATATTCAATGTTATGTTTATGTTAACCTTTTCATGCTGTGTGAATACTTTTAAATTCGTTTACTCCTATCAATGTAAGATATGATGGGACCGTAGCTTGTGATTAAAAGGGTTCCTACCTCCTCTTATATACATTTATACCTTATCACGAAAAGCAATTACAATATTAAAACATATTTTAATCAGTAATTTAATTAATTCAAACGAAGGAAAGGTTTTTATATTGATGCAAGATATATATTTTAAAACGATGTAAATGTTTAACTGAATTCTGACTACGCACCGTGTTAAAATATCTCCAAAAGAAAATAAAAACAA